TGGCAAGGGCGTAAGTATATGATAAGATATGGAAGTACTTAACATTTATCTTATAAAATGATTTCCCTTGCAGATGAGTGAGCAAGAAATTGAAACCATTTTGGATAAAACGATGGTTCTCTTCCGATTTCTACTTGAAAAGGATGTCTTTGAGCGCTATTACAAGACGCATTTGGCCAAACGTTTGCTGCTCAACAAATCGGTCTCCGATGACTTTGAGAAGAATATGATATCCAAACTAAAGGTGAGTGACAAGAATTTGTAGTCACAACTGAAAAGCTTTCACTAATCTGCTTCCCTTTCACCTGTTGCAGACTGAATGTGGCTGTCAATTTACATCAAAACTTGAGGGCATGTTTAAGGACATGTCTGTGTCCAATACGATTATGGATGAATTTAAAAGTTATGTAAATAATAACAGTTTGTCATTGAGCGGCGTGGAGCTGACGGTGCGCATTTTAACCACCGGATTTTGGCCCACACAGGTGATTACTCAACTCTCTCTCTCTCTCTCTCTGCGTCATTTACTCTGTTCATCAATCTACATATTCAATATGCTGTTTATTTATAGACGGCAACGCCCAATTGCAACATACCCTCAGCACCGCGCGAGGCCTTTGAGGTGTTTAAGAAATTCTACCTGGACAAGCACTCGGGTCGGCAGCTGACGTTACAGCCGCAGATGGGTATGTCAGCATCATTATAAATAACATCTGTGCAATTTGCGCTAACAGCTTGCTGGTTTTGCTACAGGCACTGCCTACATCAACGCCGTTTTCTATGGCCGCAAAGCGAATGACAGCGACAAGGACAAGGATGGGCCAAGCTCAAGTTCAAGTGGCTGTCCTGTGCCCACCACAACACGCAAGCATATATTACAAGTGTCCACCTATCAAGTAGGCAACTCAGCCAGCTCTTTATGTAGTGCGCATCTAATCTTGATTCTGCATTATAGATGTGCGTTTTGTTGTTGTTTAACAATCGGGATTTACTGACCTATGATGACATACACCAAGAGACGGATATACCCGAGCGTGAGTTGGTCCGTGCACTGCAATCTTTGTCCATGGGCAAGCCAGCGCAGCGATTGCTAGTGCGCAACTCAAAAACGAAAACAAAGGACATTGAGCCCTCGGACGAGTTTTATGTGAACGATGCATTTGTCTCCAAGTTCCACAGGTGCGTATTCTCATTTGTAATATGAATGAGGGAAGGCTTTATATTATTTTATATTTCAACTCTTGCAGGGTAAAGATCCAAACGGTCGCTGCCAAGGGTGAATCGGAGCCGGAACGTAAGGAGACGCGTGGCAAGGTGGATGAAGATCGCAAACACGAGATCGAGGCAGCAATTGTGCGGATTATGAAGGCGCGCAAACGCATGGCGGTAATTCATTTAATCAGTAAACTATTTTCATTTGATGATTACAACTAATCACAATTTACAATCTTTTCATTTTGCACTATTTATAGCACAATCTGCTTGTCTCGGACGTTACGTCGCAGTTAAAATCACGTTTCTTGCCTTCGCCTGTGTTCATTAAGAAGCGCATCGAAGGTCTGATCGAGCGTGAATATCTGGCGCGAACGCCAGAGGATCGTAAAGTGTACATTTACTTGGCTTAAAAAGAGTGTTCACCGTCACTCATCATTTTGCAATCGAAAGCCAACTATACACGAGGAACTGTGGCCCCATCATCACTCCTCAAATCCCTTCCCATCTAACCCGCTCCCCCCTCCAAACCTAACTCCCCTCCACCCATTTTCAACTTTTATAAATTCGCAATTAATCGGTAACACACAACTATCAACAACTTCAATTAAGCGTCAATGCAGCCACGAGCATCCCAACTGGAATCATATATTTTGACCAAGATGTTAAATAGAATAGACAAGTGCGAAATTTGTAAGCCTGACATTCAAAATTGAACAGTTATTGCTAATCTATTGATGGTTATGCAGCTCTCCTTCTTTCTCTCTCTAATGCCATTGCTATCCATAATATAATTTCGACTATTCTCTAAATTCTTTTCGATTTATTTTACACGAACTTTCATCTCATACACTAACTCTATGTTAATTCTGTTTTGAGGCACAAAACATGCGCCAACACACGTTTACAATTTAGCTACAACAATATGTATAGTATAAGCCCATAAACACACACTCACGTACATACATACATACTCACTCACTCACACACACTACTTGGATGGAGAAGCGTAAGCGAAGCAAACTTAAGAATTAATGCATAATGCAAAACTTATTTCTAAGCAGCAGTATAAATATAGCTAAAATAATAAATTTCTAAATGAATAATAAATTTAGTGAGCGTTTCATGTACATTTTTACGCAACTTTCGCCTATTCACGATAAAGTAATTAAAAAGTAAAGAAAAAAGAAAACATCAACACTAAATTTATACCTTAAAAAACGCTAAATATTTGAGATTCATGTGAACAGAGTTTAAAGTTAAAAAAGACATTTTAAAATCGATTTTTATATATACATAACTGCACATAATATACGTGAGCAGGCTTTTTAAACAAAACAAAAACGAAACAAATAACTATATAGGTGTATAAAAGTTGTTTTAGTTGGTATAGCCTAGGAACACATCTCAATAGCAGTCCCCATATATTCAGCAATGTTTTTTTTTTTTTCCTTTCTATAATTTTAATTTATGCACACTTCTGTGTTATTATTCATTCTTGAAAATATTAATAGTAAGAGAAAAAGTACGAAAAAACTTACTTGCAAATTGATGTGTGAGTTCATTAAATAAATATAAGCGTGTATGCTTGAAGTGAATTGAGCAATCAGGCGTATTAAAAACAATTGTACATAAATTTTTGTTCTGATGTATGGAAAAAATGAAAATAATATATATAAATTGATATATATATATGCACATATGTGTATGTATATATATATATATAAATAAAACGTATTTGAGCGTTAAAATGTACATTTGTACGTGTTATTTGTGGCATTACTGTAAAATAAGGCAATAAACTAGAATCGTTGCGGAAACTTCAATTGTCTGATCTGTTCCAAATAGATTAACCTATATATACATTTTAGCCAAGGAAGTATCAAATATAGAATACGCTTCATTTAGATTTGCTTTTCTTCAGCAAAACTCGAAATAAATTTATTGAATTTCTTCGGCAATGAGTTTTCTAGCTTAAGTTTATGCATTCAACTTAATCTCAAGAAAAAATGTAAAGCCCATATTTATTTTATTGTAATACTTTTTTCAAGGAATATCTTATCAAATTTGGCCTTTGTGCAAAATACAGGTGTTTTGTACCTATGTTGGATTTAACATTGGTAAGCTGTCTATGATTTTATACCCGGTATGAATAGCACAAATTATACATTAGTTCTATATACATATATACTAATGAGTTCATTAGCAATCAAGTCATTGCAATTCAGTCCGTTGCGTTAAAGATGCCGATATTTGGAGTTTATCAAAATGATTCCATAGCATGTATGCTATTAGATCGAAATATCTAACTAGAATAAGGAAATTAGGTTCTTAGCATCTCGTAAACAGTCGCATCATAATTGATTGGACAATTTATGGGCATATTTTTTGCTTCTTACAGGGTATTTGCAAATGGTGCACTAGGAAAATAAACTATTTCTTTTGTTGTAAATAAACTTATCTAACTAGCAAATAGATAGGTAAATTATAATTATCAATAAAATTGGCCAACTTTCGTGCCAACCACCCGACTCGGCCTGGCCCTCCCAAATTGCACGAAGCTGCGCAAATAGAAATGATTTGGCTTTTTGATTTTGAAAATAAATACGCTAAGTTGTTCGGTAAACACTGAGACACTGACACCGGCGACGCGTCGCGACGGGAACAAAGACAGCGGCGTCGATTCCAGTTAAGATTCTGATGCTGATCCGATCGAGTTTGATTCGATCTGACGTACTGATAAGGCCAAGCCTCAGCGCGTGTGTCTTGGCGGCCGCAGCCAGACGCAGAGAGCAAGAGCAAAGCGAACGAGCGAGGGTGAGAAAGAGAGAGAGAGACGCATTCGGAAGCGCTCCAATGGAGCCTTGCTAAATAAAAGTAAAGCGAAGTACGATGGCGCTAATAGTCGACTGATGGGTACCCTGTAGTCAAATGATTTGACTTAATATTGTTGTCAGATAATAAAATACTACCAGAAGCTGTTAATGAATTATGTAATATAAAAATTGTTTGCTCTATATTTATAGCTGCCTTCTTACTAATATTGATTACAATCCAGTAAACTCAATCCATACATTTACATACTCCTTATATGTATATAATATTTGGTGGTACTGGATGTGGAATATTTTTCTTTCGATTATTATCCATATGTGCAAGTAGTCCTAGTGCTCATAGATTTTCCTGATCACCTGATCTTGTGTGAGAATTTAAGGATTTCAAATTTGCTCATATACTATAGACATCCATTATTGTTACAGTTATTTATATAACCATAAAGGTTCCATCTCAGCCCAACCATCATTTGCCTTTAATTCTGTATGCCCGCCCACCCATTTGCATTACAGGGTATCTGCCTGGCCTGTGATATTGCCTTACTCGCACAGCTTGTGTGCACTTTAGACGCACAATATTTCAGTTGTATTCCTCGGCTCGCTCAGTTGCCATCCGTTCAGCAAGCGCAGCGGTCGCAGAATTCGAGTTGAAACTGTGGAATACCACCGATCGGAGCTAAAAGCTAAACATCAACAACAACAACAACAACAATAACAACAGCGACAGAAGTGGAGACCGTATCCAAAACTAAAAGCTGCTGAAAGCCGAAACCATTTGCTCGCGTGCTCATGTGTGTGTGTGTGTGTGCGTGTGTGTATGTGTACGTCTCGCAAAACAACGGGCGTAACAACAAGAATATATATACATACATACATTTATATATATAAATAATTTACATACATACATGTACTTTTTTAATATACATATGTAGAATACTTATGAAAATAAACAAAACTACGTCAGAAGACGGCAAACAAAAGATATGAACACGCCGACGCCGCAGTCGCCGTCAACGTCGCCGTCGCAGTCGCAGCCCACAACGACGTCAACGTCGCAGCCAAGGTTCGCCTGAACGTTAGGTGAATCGAATAAATATAATTTTTTCCGATATTTTATTAACATTTGTTGCGTTGTGCCGTTGTTATTGTTATTTATTTATTTATTTATTTTTATTTTTTAATATTTTTTTAACGGTTGCGTGTGTAAAGTTAGTGACCTTAGAGTGAAGCGTGATTTCGCAGTAAGGAAAACTGCATTTGTGTGTTTTGAAATTGAAATCGGATCGAATCGTAGCAGGCCCAGACGGCATTAGCAATGCCTTGGAGACTGTCTCCATTCACTTTTTGATCCGAACCAGACTAGAACACTTGGCCTAATTACACAAGCGATTCTAGGCTAAAATTCAACAACAAATTGGCATTATTTTGAACTATTTTGTTTTTTTTTTTTTTTGCTTTCGCGGAAATTGTTATTTTTGTTTTGGTAGGCTACAAAAAAAAAAATAGAAGAAAAAAAAGAGGATTTTCATAATGAGCCAACGACGAGTTTTTTGCCTAAATGCCACGACAATGGGTCTGTCCACGTCGCCGCCATCATCGCCGGGTGGTCCGCCCCCGGAGTTAGATAGGCAGCCGGAGCAAAAGGACCTGCCACAGCAGCAAACGCAGCAGCAGGAAGAGGAGAAGTGTGAAGAGCAGCCAAACCAACAAAATGAAAAGCCAAATAAGCCAATGGATGAGTCTAGGAAACAACCACAGGAGGAGGCAAAAGATCAAGCACAGCCACCTCCAGCGGTGGCAGCACCACAGCCAGCACGCTCAGCACCATCGGCAGCACGTGCAGCATACCCCACCATAAGCGATCTGCCAAACATATGCAGGCACTATGCGGCGTGCAGCTTGTCGGGCGGATGTGACGCGTCTATTGGATTCGGCAATCTGGAGGGCAAGTCGGGCTCGACGCTCACAAGCACCGAGCACTACCACAACCAGCTGCAGAAGCTGCGCACCATTTGCGGCGAAGCGGCCATTACGAACTTTGAGCTGAATAACTTATTCCTAAATCGACTCAAGGAGATCGATTGCCTGGATGAGCAATGCGGCGGCGATTCGGTGGGTATTAGAGGTGGAAGGAAATGCTAAGAAACATAAATTTCCATAAACTCCTATTAGTTCCTTGAGCTCCTGAATACTATTTCCACTCCAATTTTCCAGAAATTCACCAAACTGCGGCTGGCCACATTTCAGGATTGGGTCGATCTACTGCTGCATGTCAACTACATTATTTTTGGCAATATGTCGGCCATGGAGGTGGAGGCGTACGAGAAGATCATGAACTGTTTCCAATCGGTGCGCGGTGAACAGCAGCAGGCCCAGGATGAGAATCGCAAGCTGCGCAAGGATATGTGCGCCATTATAAAGCTGGTGCAGCACGCCTTCCATCACAATACCTGGAACACGGACGACATGTGCCTGGAGACGTTGACGGTGAATCAGCTACTGGGCATACAGGGGGATCAGGCACGACCGGAGAGCGAAACCGAGAAGGTAGGTTTGGCAATTGGAAGCACTTATTATCCCACAGGGGCTACTAGGGGCTTGCTTCACATCATCATCTTGTGTTCTTCTAGAAGGCCGGCTGTTCTAATGCAGAGAAGTCGCGCGTTTCATATTCCGATCAAATCGTATTCGAGGAATCCAATCGCCTATAATTAGCATTTTACTTTGTTTTTGTTTTTATTTATTCTCTTTCATTGTGTGTGTGTGTGTGTGGTGCTCTAATTTAATTAATTGTTGAAATAAATTTTGTTTCGTTTGTGTTATCTGAGAGAGCATCGTATTTCGATTTCTGATTGGCATTATTTGATTACAGGTAGCCAAATGCATGCGCTCTTTGGCCAATGAGGTGGCGGCCAAGCACGACGAGGTCTGTCATCTGGAGTCCCAGATGTGTGCCCTCGACGAGGTGGTCCGAACGGCGCGACAAAAGCTCATTCTCAAAGATCAATGCATAGCGCAGCTCAATCAGCAGGTGAGCTCCAATTAGTTGACAGATTATCAACTGGAATACTTGGACAAAAACTGATCAATTTTGTTATGGACCATATATATATATGGATCAGATAGTTGATCCTTGATCAATTGGAGCTTAGAATTAAATCGGCTTAGCAGTTTGTTGTTGTAAGTTTTATAACTATGAAGACGGTTGCTTGAGATGAAAAGGTCTATAAATTTCGTTAGTTCTAGATCTAAAACAGGTTTGGCAGATCTTTGCTGAACCTGCGTAATGAAATGCGTAAAAATAGAGCAATAAAAGTGGATTGGCAGTGCTAAATGTTTTTAGATCTGGTATTAAAGATGTCCAATATGCCTTTGAAGGAGTTTAAAAATTATCTTGTTTAATAGTTTTGTGAAATATGGACCTAAGAAAACCGATTAGCCGTCTCATATATATAAATTAGGAAATTTCTAAGAACATCATTTTCAAATCATTTAAATGCGAATCCACTAATTTAGGCAAGATCTAATGTGGACATCGATCAAGCCATTAAATATGGCTTGAGCTATTTTTGCGTACCAATTTGCCAATCCCATCTGCATGAGTGATGTAATTTTTTTTATTTATTTTTTTTTTTTTTTATTTTAAGCGGTACAGACTGAGCATGATAATATTATATTATATTAAAAATTTGTCAATTAAATTATAGCTTTAAAAAATTTAATACAACTCCAGTTAGAATATTCTTCGCCCTTTCTCTGTGACATTGATTTCTTGAAATAATTTTTAGATCTCTATAGAACATTAAAATAGCATATAGAATATTATACAATATCATGGCCAACTTTTTATTTGTCATTTATTTATTTAGCATTGAAAGCTGTCATTTTATATAGGAATTTTTTTAAAACTTATTTATTTACTCACAACATTTTAAAAACAAAATTTTAGGTTCCAAAACATACTTATATATATAAATACCTATTCACATTCTGTTAATGCTCCTTAGCTGGCGGAACTGCAAGATTGTCTGGCAAATATGTCCCAAGAATTGAACAACAAGACACGAACAGTTAAGCAGTACGAGGAGGCCTTCGATACGATGGACAGCAACAGCTGTTTGTTTGATAATATCAACGAGAAGGATCAGCAGGCCAACGAGCTGATGCGCCTGCTTAACAAGGAGCTGAACGAATTCATAAGTATCATAAGCACCAAGGACTTTCAGGCCATGGAGTGCAGACGGAAGCTACTCTCCTGCTTCATCGACCGAATTGTAAGTAGTTCAACAGTCTGATGCTGGGCAAGAAATTCGACTTGATATGTACCATCCATCCATCGTAGAACAACGATCGCATCGAAACAATGCGCAAACTGGAAAATATGCGCTCACAGCTGCGAGCATTGGACTGCAATATTGATCAACTGGAATCGCCGATGGCTTGTAGCACACAGCGACCCGAAGATGAGTATGATAATCAGCTAATCGATGGGCTGCGTCGGCGACTGATAGCGATCAACGAGTGCAACAAGAAGCTCAACTTCAGGTGCCAACAGGTAGAGGCCCAACAACGATGTAAGTATTGCAAGGACTCACGCTTTATGTAAACATATATACATGTATAAATCTGTATAAATCTTTATGCTGATCTCTGATCTGTCTAGTTGAGATCTTGAATGTCACGTCTGACCTTGAGGCTGTGCGTGCTATAAATGAGAAAAATAGCCATGTATTGAAGGAAATAGCTGATCTGCTCTCCAAACTGGTAAGCAGATTAATATAATTCAAGCTAACTCCCTTAACTCCCTATCTATCTGGCAGCGCTGCCGTGATCTATCTTATGAGGAGATCTATACTGAAAAATCGTCGGACAATCCATTCTGCAAGGCCATCATGGAAATGTATGAGAAACTAAATCAGCTGGAGAACAATAAGGAGACAGAGAACCTGCAATCATTCGTAAGTAATGTAGTTAAATAGATTGATAAATGATTCTCGAAACGGTGCTTATCAATGCGATTGTACATGCAGGCCGGCGACAGCGAGCCGCAAACATCTGCCCACAATACATAGCCGACAACAACAACCTACACCTACAATAACACCAACATTGTTGTTCCCCTCGAAGCTGCTGAAGCCTAGTTTGAATTAGTTTTCATCTTAGTTAAGGCATAGCATAAGCATATGTAAGTGGTTGACGTTAACTACAAATTCAACTTTAGCCATAAGTTTTCTAGAATGTATCAATATTTATCAGTCATAATAATATCTAATGATAATACATCAAGTTCCCGCCAAAAAACCGAAACATTCCATAAGCCAAGAGTTGCAATAAATCAAATGCAATTTTGTTTCAGTTTATGTGCTCAGGCAGCAGATATACTATATGATGTATATATTTGTATAATATGTAATATGTACATATATCATTCGATATGCAAGTGCAACAGCGAATTTGCTCTACACATGCAAATGGTAGTTTAAACGAGAGCAGCAAGAGAAATTGTAAAGGTTTTGTTCTGGGTCTGAGAAGAGTTTTCCAATTAATGCTATATATGTATTTTTTTTTTTTTTTTTTTTTAGTTCTTTTATAGCATATAAAGAGCAGCTGCTAGGTCTTAGATCTCTTCTAGGATCTTTCAATGAATGTTTGCCTTTGTCGATGAATCTTTGCTGCTCGAGTAGTTTAATATATGCTTTTTGTACCCATTTCTTTTCATTGTACTTTTTTCTTATCTTCCTTTCCTTCCTGCTTGTTACTCGCAGTCCTGCTTTACATTTCAGCCCAGTAAAAATATAATTAAAGGTAAGTCGGAAGCGGGTCTCCGTGAACGGAGAGCAGTAAAATATATCATATTTTATCCAAATATAAAAATTAAATTAAATTCAATGGGAGCTACAAGATCAATTGCTGTTCTTCTTTTTTTATTATGAAAGAATCACCATTAGCTTAAATTAATTAAAAACTATTTTCAAATTAAGAATACTTCTATCAACTTTTCATAAGGCCCACGCTCATATACATATATGCACAAATCGTTATATGTAATAAAATTGCATTGCCATTGTTATATATGCTACTCTATATCCCTATATATACACATACATATATATTGCTGCAGCTCCCGACAGTCCATTCGAGTCGCTTGATTTATGTACTTGAATATTTTGTAAAACACAAATGAAAAATAAAAAACGAATCTGTATCCTGTCGAAGCGAAGACTTACTCTATTGGACAAATGCAAATCGCTTGATACTCCGCTGAGTTCAACTGCAATCGTAGTGAACTCTGAAAAGCGGTTAAGTTGCCTACCAACTGCCTGTACCCTGTACTCCCCGTCTCCGCCTACCCCTTTCTACATTAGCTCCTAGCAGAAATAGGTTTCGTGTTATTTATTTACCCACAATCGACACGCGAGCTATGCGAGCACTGATATGCATATCGATGAGCATGACAGCAGCAGGAGAGCAGGAGGAGGAGGGAGACAACGAGACAGAGACAGAGAGAGTGAAAGAGAGAGAGCGAGAAGTAAACCTGACAGCAAGCTATCACCCAAAGGCAGCCGAATGGTCGCCGGAGTAGTCCAAAGCTCAACGTCAACGTTGCTGTTTATTCGCGTGAAACAAATGAAGCTCGTCGGGGAAAACGGTAAACTGAATACTGAATACGGAATAAGGAATACTGAATACGGGATACGGAATATGGAATACCGAAAACCGACTACTAAAATATGAAATCGGCAAATATAATAATCAACAGCGGTGTCGGGCCACACTAAATCAAGACATAAAACAAACAGTTTACGTGCCTTAATTAGCTGCACCCGCAACAGACATTGCCAACTGCCACGCCCCCCACGCTCCGAACTTCTTCCTAAAGAGGACGACGACTTCGATATTATTCGCTGTCTGTCTTCACTCCTTTGGCAACGAAGTGAAGTGTCTGGGTGAGGCGATAATATTCACCAGGTGGCAGGACAACGAAAAGGACGCGTCGCTGATGCCAAACGGATACGTGTGCAATTAAACAAAGTTTATCCTTCGATTGCCAACACAGAAAAAAAAATATATATATAAAAACTACAAACTTGGCCAAAAGTGCAAATTGTTTTCAAGTGCTAGCTGAAAAGTAAATACCTGCAAATGAAGGTGCTCGAAAAGGGTAAAAGGGTGCCGACTGAAGTTTATAAAACGAACTGACTGACGACAGACAGCAACACGAAACTTTATTAATACATCAATTGCCTCTATTTAGCATGTATGTGTGTGTGTGTTGGGGCTGGAGTGTCTGGGACATAATTTGACTTAGAACACAGCTCTGTAAATTTGTTGGGTGATGATTCGAATTAAAGTGATCTTTAAATTCGCGAAGTTCGACTTTCACATAAAGTAAATAAAATTTTTTTTTAATATAAAAACAGCTATAAAAATTTATTATACGTTTATT